TATTCATAATTATTGCTCTGATATTGTATGGACTGCAGGCTTTTTGAATCCTTTCTAATATTTCCTTGGCATAAAGGAGACAGACTGTGACAGTTTTCCAGTCTCTGTCCTTGACCTTTCTATTTCTGCCTGCAGAACCTGATGTTATACTTGTTGGGTAGTTGCTACTCTGAAGGGGACAAATGATACTGATCATCCCCTATTGTTAAATGTCTAGACTGCCACATGATTTTTGCACAATGTTGTAGCCATTATACAATCCCTTTATTCATGCTGTATAGATGGTGAGAATTGAAGTTAAGGTATTGTCAAGTGTAGGTTGGTTTGTGATATGCAAGTGTCTTGAACCCATTCCCTGTGTAAGTTATTAGTACATTCATAAGGGCCAACTGATCTTTGGTTTCTTATTCCATTGTAAACTGAATCAAAAGTCTTACTGTGTTTACATGGTCCAGCATTATTTGCGCATCTTCCTAGTGAGATGTCAGAGTATCAAAGTGTCATCTGCATATCGGGGTCATATAATTGATTTTAGTGGTGTTGTTCCTAAAACTATTTCCTGGTGATAATGACAAACACACAGCCATGCCTTCTTTCTGCTTGTAGAGGAGGATACTGGTTTAGTGGTTTTCTGGTTGCTGCATCTGACTGGTAGTAAGAAGCCTGGACTCTTTGGTAGTGCTTAGAGAGGCTGTTCTGATCAACAGTCATATTATAGCAGGGTATTTGTAGTGCTATGTCCTTGCATGTACCTCCAATGGGCAAACCTGAGGCCACATTATACATTAGTGCCAGCCATGTTCTGGTCAGCTTGTATTGCCATTGACAACAGTGATAATTATTTTGTCCACTTTTTCTGCAAGACAAAAATCTTATGACAAATACAATTAAAAGAAAACTAGTGATCAATAATCACCTACCCCCTCAACCTTTCTTTCTCCAATATTCATGCTATCCATTCCAATTTCTGTAGTGTTGATGTTTTTCTTTTGAAGCAGTCTCCAGATATCTTTACACTTTGTGAAACCAATTTAAATCCTTCCATTGCTACCACTGAATTCTCTATTCCATCCTATCTTCTTTTTTATCATAGAGATTCTCTGATACATATGCATGGCCTTAGTGTTTATATCTGGAAAAATCTGTCAATAGCAAGTGAATTGTCCCTTGAATCCCCAGAATATTCTTTCATGTACTTTTGACTTTCATTATTGCCCTCTGTTACCTATTTCTTCTTCCTAAATTGTTCTCCCTCCTCTCAGAACTGCAATATATTGAACAAAATTTCTGATAGTATAGAAAAGGCTCTCTCTCTCTCTTGCTACTCATCTGTAGACATTTTTGTGTTTGATGATTTTAATGCTCATCATGACAAGTGGCTTAAGCATTCTAATGTTACTGACATTGTAGGTATTCAAACTTTCAATTTTTCCATTTTTCAATCTCTTACACAAATAGTGGATTTCCTTACTCGTTTTATTCCATAACTCTTTTCCTATCTTTTGTCAAACTTCACAATTTTGATAATACTGTAGTATCTATTGATATTTTGTTCCAATCATCCATTAAACAGGAACCTCTTGTACACAAGATGTCCTTCCATACCACCATGCTGACTGGGATTCACTTCATGATGTCCCTTAGATTGATACTCTTAAACTTCCTATTGAGAATTGTACCAGTGAGGTTTCTTCTAGGGTCAAAATCAGTTTCTATGCTTTGTACCCTCTATGGAAATACCAGGTGAAATCTAAATCCTCTCCATGGTTCACACCAGCCTGCTCAACTACCATAGCCCACAGGCACTACTTTTTCCAGCTATACCAGTGTGAAAGGTCCAATCACAATAGACTCCTATTTGTGACTGCACATAATAAATGTAAACATGTCCTCGAAGCAGCTAAATCTTTGCTGATAGAATGTGGCACCATAAAGCCTCTAACAACTTTAGCTCCAATGACTACTGCAGCTCAGTAATAGTGTATTAAATAAGAGAAGGTTTTGTATTCCTCCTCTCTTCATTCAATTTGAGGTGTTAACATCTGCTGACAAAGCAGATTGTTTTGCACGTAAGACCTCCGCAAACTCTACTCTTGACTCATCTGGAGCATCTTTGCACTTAGAATGGTTTCTACTATCATCTCTAATCTGGATCCCCACAAAACATGTGGCCCTGATGGTATTCCTGTAACAGTCTTTAAGAAATGGGCTCTCGAACTGGCTCCTGTTCTCTCTAAACTCTTCAATAAATGCTTCTTGCTTTCCTGCTTATTGGAAATCCTCCTCTGTTAAAGAATTCAAGTGAATCATCTGATCCCTTGAACTATCGATCTATTAGCCTTTTAGTACACTACTTGAGGCCCTAATCAATGCTGAAATAGTTAAGCATCTCATTTCAGACAAGCAATATGACTTTCACTTGTCTATATCAACTACTGATATACTAATGATTATTGCTGAAAGAGTCTATCAAACTTTAGATAAGACTGGTGAAGTTCAGGCTGATGCTTTGGAAATCTCAAAAGCATTTAACAGGATTTGGCAGATGATCTAAAAAATTACATAGTTTGTTGTGAACTGGGGTAAGGAGTGGTGTGTTAATTTTATTGCCTCCAAAATGAAACTTTTCTCTATTAATTATCCGAAAGTCCCCTTCCTGTTTCCCATCAGCATGGCTAATGCTAACCTCTATAACAGTGGCTTGTTGTGTCTTCTCAGTCTAACATTTTCAACTGGTATGAAGTGGAAAGATTATACCAGAATTCATTGCTGGGTCTGCTGCTAAGAAAGTCGGTTCACATGTGTCGTGCTAGACATTTTTTCTCCCCAGAATGTATATTACATATTTAGAAGTCTACGATTTGTCTATACTTTGAATATTGCTGGTCTGGTGTTTTTGCTATATATTTAGAGATTCTTGATAAAATCCAAAGAAGAATCAGCAATATTATTGGTCTTGGCCTGGCATCTTGGCTTCAGTTACTTTCCCCACACCTGTAAAGTTGCTTCCTTGTGCCTTTTCTATGAATACATTCATGATAACTGCTCAGATGAACTCTTTGCTATGGTAGCTAGAATTTATGAATTTAAGTATAGTACTAGATTGGTGACAAGGTCTCATCAATTTGCAGTTTAATTGGCAAGAGATGTAACCGTAGTTCTATGTTAACAGTTTTTTTTCTCACATTTCTTATTTAGGGAACTGTATTCTGGCTTCATGCTTTCCAGCCAACTTCAAAAATTTAAATGCAATACCAATCATTATTTTGTCTTGATAACTCTTCTAGTTTTTTTTGCTCTCTAATGCTTCTCTTTTTTCTTCTTCTTCCCCACCCAGTAGCCCCTAGTGTCATCATGGCTTTACTACCTTGCATGAGGTGATATCATTAAAAAGATGTCAGACTCTAGTTCCATAAGGTTATTTATCAAGATGCTAGTACATTCCTCAAGGCAGGGGTCCAATTCCAATCTATTTTGAGCTACCCAGAGCCTCATCTGTAAAAACCCTGGTAGAAAGGTTTACTGCATCCAAACTTACCATTCAATTGTTATGGATGGGATCACCTCAAATTCATTCCACAAATTGAGCTCTTATTCTTGACTATATCAAATGGAGCTTAGACAGACAGGTTACTACAGGTTTCAATGGAATACCAACTGTGACTCTTGCACATACATAACAGCTTATCTATTCAGTGCGAAGAAGTAATCTTTTTTCTTATTTAGGATCTGTGATAGCTTCTTCTCAGTTTTTAGGGTCGGATACTTTTTTTTACATTGCTAGACTTGCTAATTTCTCTGAAGATTCTGTTTATTGGTCTTCTTTTCAGTCAGGTTTCTTGTTGTATTGATTAAACTTATATGATCTTAACAAATGTGAAATGTGAAATAAGTAATGAGTAATTTTCTGCTTTTAAAATCTGTTCAATCCATTTTCTCAGTTATCTTTTGCTGTTATTACTGAGTAACTCTTCCACTGTGTAACTTGCTTTAACTTTTTAAAGTTACACAATTATCATCATGTTAGGTATGCTGGAAATTACCAATAAGATAAAGCTAAAGTTTTCTCAAATGGAATTCAGATAATGACCTATTGTTTTGATGGAAAGCTCCAAGCTCAACACTAAAAGTCAAACAGAACACACATCTGTGTTTTCCTTATTCAGGTACTTGTATCTCACTGTCCATGCATTCATCTAAATAGCAGAGATCAAAGTAAATGTTCTCCTTCTATTTGGTTGATAGCCAGTTCCTTAGTGACATTGCTGACTATATTCAAAACAAGTTAGTCATTAATGAATCTTGATTGACTAGTTTTGTCTGTTTGCCTACTTCTGTTTCTCTTCTTCGTCAATGCTTATGCATTGATCTCCTGCCATGTATCTGTCTTTTATTCAAGCTTTGCTGTGAGGGTATATAATGTAGAAATTCTATATGTCAGGACAATGTTAGGCAAATGAATGAAAGTAGAAAATATTCTATATAATGCATTTCTTATAGAAGGACTTCATCACACTAAAGTAATGTTTTTGTCGAGAGAATTATGTATAGAAAGGGTAGAGGGAATATAAAAAGCCAAGTATTGATTAGAATTATGCACTGCACTCAAGAAACACTGTAGATATTGGAACTGAAATTTAAAATGAAACATTTTTTGTGTGTGTGTGTTTGATGTATCTGGGGATGTAGTCTAGCTGATTTCATTCAGTTATTGCTCTGATATATTAAGATTTTAACCATGGTGCCCGTCACTTGCCACCAATAATATCATTGATAAATCTGATGAAGTGACCTAATATAGAAAATTTGATGAAGTTTAATTTATGTTTTTAAATTTAATATTTTTCCTCCTTTATATAGAGACAAGATTTTGATGGCATAAAATTGATGTTTGTCTTCATCCTTTCTATTTTTTGTTTATATAATCCTTTCATGTCAATTAAATTTCTTTCATTTCATTCTCTTGCAGGTCTCTGAATTTTGGTGCTATGGGAGTGGTGATGGGACATGAATTAACCCATGGATTTGATGACAGAGGTGAATGATATACCAATTCTTTTTATCTCCTTTTGTATTAGGTGGAGGCAAAATTTATCAGCACTGTCTTTTGCAAAAGTTATGAACTTTATTCAACTCTTTATTACTTGGATAATCAATCAAATATTTAGAAAGTAGGAAAATAGCTTTCAACATAAAATTACAGAAAGGAGCATTAGTCAGTATTGAAATATTAATGGCAAGATCAGCCATTTCCATACAATTCATTGAATGAAAAGTTAGCTTTACTATTTGGTCAAAATTTATAAAAATCTTTCTCTTAAAACAATTTCTCAGGAAAATAGATTTCTCAAGTCCAGTAGTTATCACTCTTTCTAGTATTGATGTCAGTTTCTTGCTTAACTTTTTTTTAGGTAGTGTGGAAAGTCAACATCATTATTTTACCTTTTAGTTGTATGTGTTATCCAATATGTGTTTTTATCTTGTTCAACACAGAAAAAAAAAAACAGATTTATTAAAAGCATCCTAAACAAAGGAAAATTATAGCTACATACAGGACCACATTCAACATTCAACAGCCCAAACAGAATCTACTGGATGGTGAAACAGTTGATGGCATTTAAAAAAAAAAAAAAGTCTTTATTAAGAACTGTTGGAAACTGGGTTAATTGTTACTACAAAATGCTTACATTGATCAATTGGCTTTTTCTTTTGTTTTAAAAAGGAATCCACCCAGTGAAATTGTTGCATGGCTGTGTACCAAGATTGCAAAAACAAATGATCGCTTGGGGGTGGGGGGATGAGTTCTTCCATGGGTGATAGTTCCCAAGCTGCATGAATTTAAACATGCCACTAGGTTGGCATCTCAGTACCACCCTTTCACTGTTGAAACGGTTAAATGTAGCCATCTCTTCTGCTCCAGTAGCTTCATGTCTTGCACTTCCCATCTGTAGAACTCCCTTCCTCTTACTTGCTTCCCTGATAGCTATAATCTTCAACTATTCAAATGCAATGTCAAGAAAAATCTCCAGATGCCTTGATCTATTCGACATCTTTCTCTTCAACTTTCCTCTTTCATGCCTCTTTACTCTTGCTCCCACTTTCCATAAACCCTTGCATGCTAGTGGCACTCCGCCTTGCTTGGGGGTGAAAAGTTTTTTAAAAACAAATATTCTCCAGTCATTTCCCCTTGAGGCGATCATTTTTTTGTGCAACTTCTCTGGTCAGCAATTCCAACAGATTCAAATTAACTTTCCTTTCAAAAGAGTATGGCTGCCAATAATAAATTCTAGAAGTTCTAGTTCTCTCAGGATTGCCTTCTTCTAAAGGTTGAATAAGTCCAGTGAGAAGTCATCCTTATCTTTAGCCTCTTTCAATTTCCAGATATCTGTGGGAATCCTTTTCTATTCATATGCAGGAGGTTTGCTCCCAGAATAGGTTAAGGATAATTCTAATATCTTTCCCAAATGAATCAAGCTTACCTAGCAGTTCAAACAAGTCTTTGTGATATACTTTATCAAATACTTTTGCATAATCTATAAAGCATAGGCATACATCCTTCTGCTTTTGTATTGCTCTTTCAGGTATCATTCTTGGCATAAATATCATATTCCTTGTGCTAGTGTGATTAACGAAACTTCATTGTTCTTATCCTATTTCCAGTCTAATTCTGCTATGCATCTCTATTCATCAGAATTTGAGTGAGTTTTGTTATGTGGCTCATTAGGCTGATTGTCCAATGGAGCTTGCATTCATTTGCACCTGAATTCTTAGGTAGGATTGAATAATAGAATGAAGGAATAAATGAACTTGTTGAAAGAAATACTGAAAAAAAAAAAATCTTTTGCATCCACCTAAAACTAATTTTTTGTTAGACTATTCAAACACACATTTTTACTTGAAAATGTTCTCTCTTTCTCATGAAGCCTATATGATTATAGTCTTATTAGTTATCTACTGCTTAGTCCAGTCAGTTGTTAGTATTCAAAGCTCAAGAAAAGGCAAAATTTTGAATGCTAACTGAAATTTGTTTAGACAATTCCTTCGTGTTCATGATGTCAATTCATTTGTCAGCCTTGATCAAGATGTGTGTCAAAATCTTGGGAGGTGTGTGTGTTCAATTATCCATATAAAACATGGAATGTTAATGATTTTTAAAAAAAATTATAGTCTATTTTAAATGCTGATTTTTCAAGGTAAGCCATCTGTCCTTAATGGCATGTCTGACACAACATAGTCTTCATTCTATGTAGACTTGTGCCACACAAAAGCTCAGATCAGACAATATGTATAACACCTTTCATCACTCCAGAAATAAAAAATATATGATCAGAATTAGGAAACCAATCATATAATTTGACTCAGAGATTGTAGAGTGTAAGTGATGCCTTTTAGTTAAATGTGCTGTATATGAATTCTTTTTCTAGAAGTGAGAATGGTTATATATATATATATATATATATATATGAATTAACATAAGGAAAGTGAATCTGAAATATAAAATATCAACAAGAAAGTGGTTTAAATATTTACTGTTTTTTATTTCATTTTGATCAAACAAGATATTTTTAATCTCATGTATCAAATGCAGATTTCATTGCCTTCTATAGTGAATTTATTGATTGGCTTTTTAACAAAGAAAATATAAAGCATTTTTCACAAAGTTTACTGTGGCTGTTTTATTGCAGTACACATTAAAAACTAAGATTTAATTTATAAAGATTTGGCTGCTTTATCCTTTCAATGATTGTTGCTGTTAATTAAATGCATTTAAAATAGATTTTCTTTCTGAATCTTTCAACATCATGGGCAAATGTTTTGGCTTTGTTTTAAGATTACCATATCTGATAAGTTTCAAAGAATGTCAGACTTGAGTTTTTTAGTCAAACAGTGTCTGGTTGACTTTCTTTCCTCTTAAAATTATTTACTTTTGCATTAGTTTTCAAATACAAAACATATTGCGATAAAAAAAACAACAATATTTTAAAAAATTTCATTTCGTAAAATTTTGTAATAGCAATCATGATCATCAATTGCGACTGCTTATCAAAAACATTTTTCTTAGCTAAGAAATTGAAACACTCCACCTGGAATATTGCAATCATATCAATTTCTCTACTGACTTGTCTTTAATGTCTTCTTCAAAGTGTTTATTATCAAGCTGCATGACAGCCAACTCATCTTTTAGCAAAAGGGCTTCATTTGGAGTTTTATCTTATTCGACAGCTTTTCTTTTCTCTCTCTTCTAAATATTCTTATGGCTGTGGAATTAATAGCTTTAAAAATTCAAAATCCTTATTTTTACTCTACACTTAAAAAAAAAAAGGCATGAAAAATATAAAGGCATGAAATAATAATTGAGATTTGTATCACTGGGCAAGAAAAAAAAAATTAAGTTGTCTATGTTTTACCAAATATTTTAAGACAATTTTTCACTGCTGAATCTAAAATTGACACCCGTTTCTCTTGATCAGGTCATTATTTTTGAGTTGAGTTTTTGGAAATCCAATCTTCTGACTAAATCAATTACATTTTTGTGACATTATCAATTAAATTTTGTTCATATTTCTCATACAAAATAAGTTTTTTTAAGGGAAAAAAAATTGTTTTCTAACACAATTTATTAATTAAATGTTACAAACATTGATTAGTATACATTGACAAATGTAAGTATATGTAAATTGCATGTTACGTCATTATTGTTCAAAATTCAGGGCTTGAAATTCCATTTAGTCAAACTCTTAGAATGATCAACGGTAAACAGCCATCATGACTGCAGCGCAGTGTCCCTGGTACCGGGTTTTCATCTCTTTCATGTCCTGATGGAATCTCTTCCCCTGTTTGTTGCTCATTGATCCCATATGTGAGAATAAATACTGCATTTTGATGCTCATGTTGCATCCAAGCAATCAAAATATTGGGCAAGTTCTGCATAGTTCCTGGCCTTGTTATTGATAAGAAAGTTCTTCATGACCAGAACAAAAGCCTTCTATGCACCCAGCTCCACTTCATACATTGAGGTTTTAAACTCTGGATATGTGATGAGCTGATGGATTTGATGACCATTGAAGATGCCAGACTTCAACTTCTCCATTGTCAATTCTGGAAAAGCCTGGCACAAGTAAGTCCTTGTCCAGAGCTTTGGTGAACTGCTTGATCAAGCCAAGCTTGATGTACAGTGGTGGGAAAAGTATCCTGTCTCTGTCCACCAAAGGCTTATTGATGGTGTTCATTGCTCTGCAAGGTGTCATTTCCTCCTGAATAGGCCAGTTCTTTTTCATGTAATGCTGAGCAGTGTCCCTACTAATCCCATTTACACAGAAAGCATTGGTACTTGATGAACTCAGACTGTTCCCCCAATGAAAAGTTCACCATCTTAAGGTCAATACAAATAAACCACTCATGCTGATCATTACAAATTTTCTCTAGCACAGACTTCACTCCTTCAGTGTAGTCAATTAAGTGACGAGTACAGAGGTAAACTGGTGTCCATTGTGCAGCAGAACACTTTTCAGTGATCATTTGCTGCTGTCAATGAACAGTTTCCAATCTTTTGGTTTGTATTGTGACACCCCAATTTTGTGTAGAAGCTGCACAATATATGCACTGTACACTAAGCCCTTCTCTTCAGGGAAAAAAATGTGGTACTCTTGATGCCTGTTGTGGTAGAAGATGATGTGAGCACTGTCAGAGAGGAGTTTTTTTTTTTCTTCAATTTAGATGCCAACAGTTCAGCAGAGGACTTTGACAAGTTGAGATCACGAACTAGATCATTTAGTTACTTTTTGGAAAAAGGATGTGGAGCATCATCGTCAAAAACCACTTTGAACATTGGAGAAATCATTCTCAATGAAGCCAGGAAGTTCTCCAAAGACTGGTATTGGAATTTCATTACAATGAGCTACAGGACAACATGCTGATTGAAGATCAGGATACTTGAGCCTGCTCTGGTTTTTTTCTGTTGATCCTAGTCACATCAAAAGCACAGAAGTTGCAGTCAGTGCTATGGCTCGGGAATTCCCACGTTAAAAAGGCCTTGT